CAGCTGCATAGAAGTTGTTACTCCCTTCTCAGTGCCATATTGTGGGAAAGCAGATGCATAGAATAAGTCTTAATTCCAGTAACAGTCTAGTCCGGGTTGCTCCCCACACTTAAATAAAGTTAAAGAAAGAAAAAGAAAATAATAAATTATGGTGTTCTCTTGCACAGTAGGGTGGCAATACATTATGATAATGTACTATATATTTTTCTTTAAAAAAATTGAGAAAGGACTTTCGAATGTTTTTACCATAAAGAAATGTTATATGTTTGAGGAGATAGATATGTTTACCATGATTTGAACATTACACAATGTATGTGCATGATGAAGTGTCATGGTGGCCCAGACTTATGTACAATTTTATGTATCAGCTGAAGATAAAAATAAAATTTTAAAAATAAATCACCCCTCCAAAAAAAGTGACGGCAATGCTCTAAGTCCGCCCATGGGAGACTCAGAGGTCATTCTCAGAAATGGCAGAGCCAGAGGAGGTCGTTCAGAGAGTAGGTGATGAGTTCTGTTCAGGTTATGTTGAACTTTTCACCTGTACAGCACAGTCAGGAAGGTCTGATAGAAATGTAGGACATGATTCAGGAAAGAAGCCAAGTCTTGCTAGGAAATTAAGACTTAGGACTCATCCCAAACAATGGGTCATTTTATCAGTAAGAGCAGAGCTCCTGAGAGTTCTGAGACAGAATGAATTTGAGATTTCAAAAATACTGAAATAGTTATTATGGAAGAATATGTATGGCTTCCAGTGTTGTTAAATTCTTTGATGATTTTAAAGTTCTTGCATATGTGCTGTTTTATCATTATCTTAGAGTTAGTGTCATTACTAAAGAAACTTTGGAAACAGCCATGAAAAAAGTTTGTTACATCTGTACTTTACACAGGCAGTTGAAAGAAATAAAATATCACTGAGATTAGAATGACTAAACACACATATACACACATACATCATGAGGAATTGTCAGAGTACTTGAAATGGGAAGTTGCAAAAATATTTACAAATATATAATATAATATATTGTATATTTGCCTGTGGTGCTGGCATCCCAAATCAGGGTGCCGGTTTGAGTCCTGGCTACTCTGCTTCTGATCCAGTTTCTGGCTAACATGCCTGGGAAATCAGCAGGACTTGGGCCCCTGCCATCCATGTGGGAAACTAGAATGGAGTTCCTGGCTCCTGGCTTTTGCATCACACAGACTTGGGGGAGTGAACCAGGCATGGAAGTGTGCACGTGTTTTCTGTCTTGTTGTGTGTGTGTCTCTGTCACTCTGCCTTTCAAACAAACAAATAAATAAATCTATAAATCTAAGTCTCTGCCCCAGTTATAAACACAAGCCCAGAATCAGCAGTGTTGGGCTGAAATTCTGTGACCTCAGAAAGGTTCCTCATGCTTAAGATGCCTCACTTTTTCTTCTCTAATACCCCCCAATACCATCACTAAATTAATAGTACCATCTATTGTATGATAACTAAAGGAGACGTTCTATATGAAGCACAATGAACAGTAATCCCAGTCAATGTCATTACATCAGCCTTTTGCTGTTATTTTTCCTTTGCCTTCCTCTTTGTACTTTAGTTTTAACACTAGGTGGCAGTAATGCTCTCTTGACCAATTAAAATGACAATTGCCGTTCCTGTTAACAGAGATGGGTGAAACCTTACCTAATTGAAGATGTGTATAGGGCAACAGCAAAGGGGGAAGGATACAAAGAGGAGGGACATGGAAAGCAAGAAGGAGAGAAAAAATTTTTAGAGTTTGATATTTCAAAAATACTGAAATAGTGATTACGGGAGAAAAATCAGATTTTTATTGGACAATTTTCTACTTTCTAGAAAACTCAGTGTTACTTTTGCTTTTAAACACATGTCGTGGGGGCTGGTATTATAATAGCAAAATATCACACATGTGATACTGGCATCCCATGTCAGGGTGCCAGTTTGAAATTCAGCAGCTCTGCTTCCAATCCATCTCCTTGTTAATGTGCCTGGGAAGGCAGAAGATGGCTCAAATACTTGGGCCTCTACCATCCATGTAGCAGACCAGGATGGAGTTCCTGGTTCTCGGCTTTGGCTTGACCCAGACCTGGCTGTTGGAGGGGCCATTTGAGGAGTGAACCAGCAAATAGAAGATCTCTCTCTGTCATTCTGTCTTTAGATAAATAATATCATTATAAGTACATGTGGTATATATATTTTTGTGCTGGCAATCTTTAAGATTTTAAGTGGTCCTGGATGAGATTTAGCAAAATCAGCAACATAGTAATACTGTCTGTAAAGCATAATAATGTGTTCTACCACTATTTGGTATCTCAGTATTAGTCTCCATGACAAAAATATGATCATCTTCCTTCACGTAAAACATTCTTTCTACAATAAGACATTTAATGTGTTAAATATTATCTATTGCTGTGTAGCTATGACTCCAAAAGCTGGTGCTTTAAAATGACAAACATTATTTTTTCTGAGGGCCAGGAATTGTGGAGCAGCTTCGCTGGGTGGATCTGACTCAGGGTCTCTCATGAAGTTCCAACCAAGACATCAGCTGGAGATGTAGTTATCCAGAGGCTTGACCAAGCTTTGGACACTCTGCGTCCAAGATGGCTCACTCGATGGGGCCAATGCCTCCATCACTTTGCACATCCATTTGTCCAGAAAGCAGCTTGAGTGCCTTTGGGACGTGGCAGCTGATTTTTCCAGGGCAAGAGATCCAGGAGAGACTGCAAGAAGCAAGCCACAATACCTTTTATGACCTCATCTCAGAAGTCATACACTCTAACTTCCATCATATTTGTTCAAAGTGAGTCACAGGAAATAACTGGACACAACTGTTAGGAATTTCATACATATATAGGAAACGAAGTTTCTCACACAAGGATATTAGTGGCTGTCGGCTCTCTTTCAGTGTGGCTCTGAAACCATGCCTTGTGTCTCTGTGCCTTGATTTCTTCATTTAAAGAGAGTGTTCAGGGGCTGGCACTGTGGCACAGCGGGTTAATGCCCTGGCCTGAAGTGCTGGCATCCCATATGGGTGCTGGTTCAAGACCCGGCTGCTCCTCTTCCAATCCAGCTCTCAGGCTATGGCCTGAGAAAGCAGTAGAAGATGGCCCAAGTCCTTGGGCCCCTGCACCTGTGTGGGAGACCTGGAAGAAGCTCCTGGCTCCTGGCTTCAGATCAGCACAGCTCTGGCCATTGCAGCCAATTGGGGAGTGAACTATTGGATGGAATCTCTGCCTCTCCTTCTCTCTCTATGTAACTCTTTCAAGTAAATTGAAAAAAAAAAAAAAAAAAAAGAATGTTCAAAAATCCATGAGGTGCCCTATCTGGGTATGACCTCAGGTAAATGTTTTTTCATCTCTAAAATGAAGTGATCTAAGACATTGGCTTTCAAAATGTTTACACCCACTCTAAGAACTGTATTCTGAACATGAACACATGCATGTATATCTGTTTACATACAGAACACCAATGAAGGTTTCAGAGAACAGTACCTTCTATTTATTTGTGTGTTGTAACTCTATTTCCTCTTTGAGGTTAATACATTAAAAATAATTTTAAAAAGTCACATAAAAACCTATTGCACTGGTCTCATGATCCATTAAGGGCTTCATCATTCTTTGTGTGAAAACCCAATATGCACTCTCACTCCTGGGTGCTTTTTTTCCACTAAGACTACAACAGAAAGGTTAAAGAGTAAGCAAGACCTCCCCTTCAAGTTTCTGGCAGGCAGAAAATCAACTTGTAAAGATGGGTGAGCCCTGGGAGGCAGTACCTAAGTGGACGGGTTATTGTGGTTAACTTCAAAAGTTGGTTCTGAAAAAAAAAAAAAAAAAAAAAGTTGGCTCTGCCCCTTGCCATGTGACTTTGGTAAGTCTTCTCTCCAATCAGAATAATCAGCAGTATCCCCTTGCCTATGTCATAAAGTTGTTACCAGGCTCACAATTAGGTAATTGGGCACTCACCATATGACACAGAAGCTAAAGGCCTGATCTTTAATGTTCACATCTGTCTAGGATAGAGATTATCCCTGTTTTATAGATGCAGACAGATGTACAGAAGTGATACAAGCAAGATTTTCAAGTTAGCAAGTGGTAGAGCTGGAATTCAAAACCAGTTCTGACTACAAACCCTCATGCCAATCGGAACAGTAACCTACTTCCTGCGACCTCAACTGGTGGCCATCTGATTTATAAAGATATAGACTCACAGGGAGTCACCACAGTGGAATGGCCTTAGAAGCTGGCCCTGACCCCGTCATGATCTTAAGGTAAACACATAAAATATCACGTGTGGGCTGTGCGCTTGAGCGGAAGCCGCCATCACCCACCAGAGCCAACAGCAAGGCTTCAGCACTTCAAGGTCGCCAGAGACACTGCTCACAGCCGGCACGTCAGAACTGGACACATTTCTTAGACATAACTAGAGAGAGAGAGAGCGAGCGAGAGCGCTTCTCCTCCATGCCCCCCACCCCCACCCCCAAATGCCTGCATCAGTTGTGGCTGGCCCCGGCCCGAACCAGGAGCCAGAAACTCCTTCCTGGTCTTCCTCGCGGTCAGAGGGGCTCAGGTACTTGGGCCACTGCCTGCTGCCTCCTAGGGTGCGCGCATTTCGTTAAGTGGAGCCCTCACGATCTCCCAATGTCTTCCATACCCCCCCTGACACTGGGGGGCCCCTTGGGAGAAAGGCCTGGCTTCCGGCCCGCTCCAGCACGCCTCGGTCTCGCTCCAGTGCTCGGGGAACCAGACGCTCGGTCCCGGGCAAACCCCGCGGGGGCCTCCCCCTCTGGCTGGCGGGTGGGGCGGGCGGGCACCACAAAGCCCTTTATTGAGCCCCCGAGTGACGCGCGGCGCCCGCAGTTCCGCCCGCGAGCAGGAAGGAGGCGGGTGCCCGCCGCGCGGGTTCGCGGCGTGTGCGCGGCCCTCGGCTCGCCGGCGCCCGCGCAGCCCTGGAGCCCGGGTAATGAGGCCGTCGGAACCGGCTCGCCGCCGGGGCGGGCCGGCCGCCGGCCCGGGACTTCCCGCCGCGCGTTCCGGCCGAGGGGGCGGAAGGGGGAGGCCCGGGCGTGGGAAAGTGCGAGGCCCGGGCGAGCCTCAGCGGCCTTGCGCCCCGGGCTCTGTCGGCGGCCCAGGCCTCCACCTGTCCCGGGAACCGGTTCCCACCGGGAACTGCGCGACCCGCCCGGAATCGCGTGCGCGGGCGGGACGCGGGAGTGGTGCTAAGGGTTGGCCCCTTCTTAAGCTGAGCGTTGTGAAAGCGTGGGGAGGAGTGCTTCGTGTCCTGGGCCCAGGCTGGGGGCGGAAGGTGCCTGTGCCCGGGCGGGCGAGCACGTTTGGTGATGTGTTTGTTGCTGGGTTGGCTCGCTCAAGCAATGACAAAACACCACGACAGAGCACCCATACGGTTAACTGAAACCTTGTCTCACGATGACAAATCCCGCCCTATATGATGGTGAGAAATGATAAATTTTGTTCATGGAAAAAATAACACAATTGTAAATTCGGGGGTCAGGATCAATGACCATTTATTAGGGACCTTCAGACATTCTGAAATGCTTTTTCTTGTTATTTGGCTATGAAAATATTCAGGGGAAAAACCATTAATGAGGTGCATTGGAATCATTTCAGGCAAAGTGAACCAAATCTCTGTGGCATTCCCTCAGGTTCCTAGGTAAGACAGTTGGGCCTTAAGAGTCCACCATGGCTTATGGCTTGCCAAGAAAGAACACAGTGAAAACCATTTTGAGGGGCAGTTGTTATAATGTGTAAGTATTTTTATCAAGGTAAGCATTGAGTGGGGTGGGGTATGTCTTGGCTAAGAATGAAAGTTCTGGACTATATGAGGTACTACCAGGTGTCTGGATCCTTTTCTTTGTTTTCAAAGGCAACTGCTTATATATATATATATATATATATATATATATATACACACACAAGTATATATATATATATATATACACACACAAGTATATATATATATATACACTATCTACAAGACAAAGCACAGATTTCTTATATATGCTTTGTCTTGTAGATAGTGGATCATTATGGGAAGTTTTTGTTTCTGTTGTTGTTTTTTAGATTTATTTATTTGAAAGGCAGAGTTATACACAGGGAAAGAGATCTATCTTCCATCTGCTTGTTCACTCCCCATAACGGCTGCAACATCAGAGGCTGGACCAGACTGAAGCCAGGGGAATTCCTTCTAGGTCTCCCACCTGGGTAGCAGGGGACCAAGGTGGCAGGAGCCCAAGCATTTGGGCCATCATCTACTGCTTTCCCAGCAGTATTAGCAGGGAGCTGGATAGGAAATGGAGCAGCCAAGACTTGAACCAGTGTTCTTATCTGATGCTGATATTGCTGGCAATGGCTTACCCTGCTGTGCCACTATGCCAGTCCCAAGGCAACTGCTTTTATAAGAATATATAAATTATCTGTCCTGGCCTTTGCAATAAAACAGTATTCTCAAATGAGAAGATTGAGGTGCAGAGAAGAAGTTCAGTCAAAGTCAACCGTCTAGTACAGTACAGGCTAGGGTGTCTGGATCTTCTTATCCCAAAACATTTCCTGCTGCCCCCACCGTCTTAGAATACCTCTTTCCTGCAGCCATTCTTGACCTAGGCTCCAAGCCTTGCCTTGGCCCTGGGCTCCCTGCTACCTTCTCTGTGTTTTGACATCCATTTGTAAAATGGACACAATCCCCATGTGGTGTGGATTAAAAGTAGGTAATTCATGTGAAGTACTTGCATGTTGCCTGGACTACTGTGACTATGCAGTGAACATGTGTGGCTCCCATGTAGTAGGTTCACTCTGTGGTATTATACTGCTACCTTTCCTCTTTTTTTTTCTTTTATGTTTGGATTTGTTTTCTTTTGTTAACCCCTGTGCTACTGCTTATGACCTGTTTGCCATTATAGGTCAATTGAATTTTTCTTCTTCACAATATTCTGAGACGTAAGTAGGGATTCCCTACAGGATTATAAAACAAGAGCTATTGGAATAACCAAGAAAACTCATCATTGCATTTTGTTTAGTTTAGTCAGTTTGTTTAGACCTTAAACTATAGGCAAGTATTATAGTAAAGAACACTTTCTGGAGAATGATTTATTAAATAATTAAAATATATTTATTTTAAGGGTAGAGAGATAAAAAGACAGACATAGATCTTCCACCTGTCGATTCATTCCCTAAATGCCTACAAAAGCCAGGGGTGGGCCAGGCTAAAGGCAGGAGCCTGGAACCCAGTTTGGTTCTTCCATGTGAGTGACAGGAACCCAGGTACTAGGGCCATCACCTGGTGCTTCTCAGAGTGTGCATTAGCAGGAAGCTGGAATTGGAAGTAGAGCTGAGACTTGAACCCAGTCACTCTGATAATGGGACACAGTTATCCCAAATGACAACCACTGTGTCAGATTACTGCCCCCCCCCCAAGATTTTTTTATTTGGGGCCAGCACTGTGGCATAATGGGTTAAGCCACAGCCTGCAGTGCCAGCATCCCATATGGTACCAGTTTGAGTTCTGGCTCCCCCTCCCCCCCTTTTTTGACAGACAGAGTGGATAGTGAGAGAGAGAGAGACAGAGAGAAAGGTCTTCCTTTTTTCCGTTGGTTCACTCAACAATGGCTGCCGCGGCCGGCGCACCGCGCTGATCCAAAGCCAGGAGCCAGGTGTTTCCCCTGGTCTCCCATGCAGGTTCAGGGCCCAAGCACTTGGGCCATCCTCCACTGCCTTCCTGGACCACAGCAGAGAGCTGGCCTGGAAGAGGGGCAACCAGGACAGAATCTGGCGCCCCGACCGGGACTAGAACCCGGTGTGCCGGCGCCGCAGGAGAAAGATTAGCCTATTGAGCCGGGGCACCTGCTGTGCTGCTCCACTTCTGATCCAGCTCCCTACTGATGCACCTGGGGAAGCAGTGGAAGATGGCCCAGGTCCCTGGATCCCTGCACCCATGTTGGAGAACCAGAAGCCCCTGGCCCCTTGGCATCAGCCTGGCAGAGCCCTAGCCATTGACAGCCATTTGGGGAGCGAACTAGCGGATGGGAGATCTCTGTCTGGTTCTAATTCTACCTTTCAAATAAATAAATAAATCTTAAAAAAAAGATTGATTTATTTGTTTTGTAAGTCAGAGTTAGAGGGGGAGGCAGAGAGGGACTTCCCATCTGTTGGTTCACTCCTCAAATAGCTACAGCAGCCAAGGCTGGGCTAGGCTGAAGCCAGGAGTCAGGAGCTTCATCTGGGTCTCCCATGTGGGTGACAGGGGCTCAGACGCTTTGGGCCATCTTCCACTGCTTTTTCCAGGTTGTTAGCAGGGAGCTGGATCAGAAGTGGAGCAGCCAGGACAAGAACAGGTGCCCATATGGGGTAGTAAGTGTGGACTCGTCCTGCGAGGTCCACACTGCCGGGGTGGTGGGGCAACGGCGTTCTTCGGCAAGAAGCGCCGGAGACAAGTTTCGGTGAACATGTCCGCTTTATTAACAACCAAGCACACCTTTTAAAGGGCAGGCAGAGGAGGCGTAGCTAATTCAGGGCAGCACTAATTCCATAGGATAGAGCCGGTATTGGCGCTGCTATGCTTCTCCAATCAGCTTGAAGGTCACGTAGGCTCTGGCAGCCTCCCAGGTGGGCCTGGGCCACACCCAGCAGCAGTTTACCTGGTTGGCAATTACACGGCTCTTCAACAGAAGGCGGGGGTGGGGAAATGTGCCTGGGGCTCCTGCTGTCTGCCAGCAGTCATGCTAACCTCCTGCATGGGCTAGGCAGGCAGTCTCACAGGATCACCCACAAGCAAGAGCTTATACCTTCACATGTTGCTGTAGCGATTATGTAGTTTACGTGTGTAAAGTGTCCAACATAGTGCCTAAAGTAGTATTGCTATACTTACAATAGCTTTGATCAACACAGAAGGATAGATCTTCCTTGCATATATGTTCTGTATTATGTTTAATTAGGCTCTTGGTAGACATTAAAGTGATTTCTCTGTTTTTCAAACAAGCAAAAAAAACCCTAATGAACATTCTTATAAATACATATTTGTGAATTGTTCAAGCCTGTCTATAATAATTACAGAATCTGAGTCTTTTTTTTTTTTAATTTTATCTATTTATTTGAAAGAGTTACACAGAGAGGAGGAGAGGCAGAGAGAGAGAGGTCTTCCATCCACTGGTTCACTCCCCATTTGGCTGCAATGGCTGGAGCTGCACTGATCCAAAGCCAGGAGCCAGGAGCTTCCTCCGGGTCTCCCATGTGGGTGCAGGGGCCCAAGGATTTGGGCCATCTTCTACTGCTTTACTAGGCCATGACAAAGAGCTAGATCAGAAGTAGAGCAGCTGGGACTAGAACCAGCACACATATGGGATGCTGGCACCGCAGGCAATGGCTTTACCTGCTACGCCACAATGCCAGCCCCGAGTCACTTAGATGATACAGTATCAAGAAAGCTGGAGGAGATAGGGTGGCTTGTGTATGACACTGTCACCGTCACTACCCTTACTGGGTCCAAAGCAGACCCTTCGTTTTCTCATGCGGATGAGGATGGACTCATACTGATTACAGATAAGAAACAGGTAGCTGATATTTTAAATAGGACTTGGATAAATAAAACATTTATTTAAGGTTCATAGTGGCTATTTCTTTAACATTTAAGTTATTTATTATTTATTTGGAAGGCAGAGAGCCTGAGAGAGAGAGAGACAGAGATACATATAGAGAGAGCACCTGTCCTCTGGTTCATTTTCCAAATGCCTGCCACGACCCAAGTTGGGCTGAGCTGAAGCTGAGAGCTGAGATTGTAATCCAGGTATCCCCACGGGCAGCAGGTTCTAAATGAGCCCTCACTGCTGCCTCCCCGGGTCTGCATGAGTAGGAAACTGGAGTCAGGAGCCAGAGCTGGGTATTACGCCCAGTACTCTGATGTGGGACATAGGTGTCTTAACCTCTGGCAAAATACTCCCCATAGTGGTTATTTTCTATGCTGCAGTTTGAAATTTCATCCCGATCCCTAAAACCCACAATGAAAGTATTAACATATGCTATATTTTTAAACAGCCAGAAAGACTTTGGAGCTAACAGTGCTTGTTCACATCCTCTTACATGGAAAGATGGAGTTACCATGGGGCTAGCGCTGTGGCTCACTTGGTTAATCCTCTGCCTGTGGTGCCAGCATCCCATATGGACGCCGGTTCTGGTTCCAGCTGCTCCTCTTCCAGTCCAGCTCTCTGCTGTGGCCCAGGAAGGCAGTGGAGGATGGCCCAAGTGCTTGGGCCCTGCACCCGCATGGGAGACCAGGAGGAGGCACCTGGCTCCTGGCTTCGGATCGGTGCAGCGCGCCAGCCATGGCGGCCATTTGGGGGGTGAACCAATGGAAGGAAGACTTTTTTCTTCTCCTGTCCTCTTCTCACTGTACTCTACTGTCAAAAAAAAAAAAAAAAAGAGATTGAGTTACCTCCACGGAGGCTTCACTGTGAACAAAAGTTCCTGGCATTAATATTTCTGGTCTGGCTGGCACCGCGGTTCACTAGGCTAATCCTCCGCCTTGCAGCGCCGGCCCACTGGGTTCTAGTCCTGGTCGGGGCGCTGGATTCTGTCCCGGTTGCCCCTCTTCGAGGCCAGCTCTCTGCTGTGGCCCGGGAAGGCAGTGGAGGATGGCCCAAAGGCTTGGGCCCTGTACCCCATGGGAGACCTGGCTCCTGCCATCGGATCAGCACGGTGTGCTGGCTGCAGCATGCTGGCCGCGGCGGACATTGGAGGGTGAACCAACGGCAAAGGAAGACCTTTCTCTCTGTCTCTCTCTCACTGTCCACTCTGCCTGTCAAAAAAGAAAATTTCTGGTCATATTTTAAATCCTTCTTTGCTAGAGTGGCAACTCCAGAAAACCCTGAGAACTTCCCTGTAGTCCAAAGTGTCCAGCGGCAAAAGAATTAAGAATGAATGTGATGTCCTCTGTACACTACACAGTATGGCTGCTTAGTACATTTATTGAATGAATTAATGAATTTTTTGTCCCAGACAGGAACCTTGGGATCTTGCACTGCTTACAAAGACCTGGTACACAAACTTAGCCAACCTCAAGTTGCCTTTCTTGGAAGAAATTACATTTGGTAGTCCTATAAAGCTCACAAAATGTAAAACTGTTAAGGATGGTCTGCTCCCTTCAGCAGAATGTAAGTTCCTTAAGATCTATTGTAATAAAAAGTAAATTGTCAGTAGCATTTGCTCATCAGAGAGATGTGTGAATGTGCTTCTCCATACCCCTACCGCTCATCTAGTCTTGTCAGCTTGTTCATTATTCAGAGATGTGAATCGTGCTGTGTGATAACGGTTTTGACTGAACTATACCTGGTGAAAATGGCAATCGAATTGCTCCATGTATTTTATTTTTCAGCCATCAAAACTGAAAGGGAGTATGAAATGAAGCGCCTGACTAAGCTTAAAAGTGAAGAAAGTACCTCTGAGGAAGTTCAGTTATCCCTAAGGGGAAGGGCAGCTGGTTTCAGAAGGCCTTTTCCACCGAAGTCCCAAGCACCTCAGAATGGAGTCTGTGCTGTTCCCTGCATCAGAGGGGATGGAGGTCCTGAGCCTTACGCTGTTGCAAGTTCGGTGTCGTCCTATGAGTACATCGTGACCTGATGGGTGTGCAGGTGCCACACACGTTGGCAGGTGGGAAGCTCTGACAGGTCTTCTGCATTCCTGCCAGGGCTCTTTGCCTTTGTGTCACAAGCGACAGCACTGTAAGTAGATGGAAGTGCCTCTGGAGATGAGTCACTTACTCATTTTTGATTTTTGCAAACTTGCACTAAGCGAAAAGGAACCTCCTTGTTAGAGGCATTATTTTGAAGAAATATTTTGAATCTGTCTTTGAGATCCCAAGGAGGGACCAAAAAGAAAGCAAGGAGCAATTCTCTTGACAATGATAAATGCTGAAAATTTTCATTTGATTAAGAAAAATAACAGAGCAAGTCTTCAGTTTTCAATTTTCAGTGAAACATCACTGTGTTACTCTAAAGTAGCAAGTAGAACTTCCTTTGTTTTTGTTTTCCTTCTGCCTAATTTCCTGTTTTTTCTCTGTGTGACCCTGGAACATGTGGAACACGCATACTTACGTATGTGAAAGAGACATGAACGTACAAAGAAAGTCTTATTATGAGAAAAACTGATTTGCACAGAGGGGTTGGGGAATGGGGAAATTGATTAACTAGAAAGTATTGGATTTGGATGAACCAATTTTTCTAGATTGTGAATCCAATAAAGCATATTTGTAAATTAAGGTTATGTTTTAGCACAGTTTGCTATTTATGTATTTTTATTTTATTTATTTGAAAGAGTTACAGAGAGAGAGGGAAAGACAGAGAGAAAGAGAGATCTTCCATTCACTGGTTTACTTCCCAAAAGACCACAACTGCTGGGCCTGGGCCAGGCCAAAGCCAGAAGCATGGAACGTCTTCCAGGTCATGCATGTGGGTGGCAGGAGCCCAAGCACTGGGGCCATCCTCTGCTGCTTTTGCAGGCCCATTAGCAGGGAGCTGGATCAGAGGTGGTGCCTATGGGATGCTGGCATTACAGGCGGCAGCTTACCCTGCTGAGCCACAATGCTGGCCCCCAGCACAGTTTAGTGTTAGATGATTCAGTAGGCATTTCAGGATCTTCTTTTATCTTGCCCTTTATGTGAAAGAAGCTATGGTATAGTGTTTAAGAGGACAGACTTCAGACCTGGTTACCTCTCTTTAAATCTCAGTGCAGCTGCTTATAGCACTGGGATCTTTGGGGTAAGTTACTTTGTCTCTAAGTTTCCTTCTATATTAAATAGGAATCATACTAGTTCCTACTTCAGAGGGGTGTCATGAGGACAAAATAGAAACTGCCAGGTACACTGAGAATTACTCTAGTGTTAGCTGTTACTGGGAGCATCAAAACCTTGTACCACTACAGTCTAGGTATAGAAGAGATATAATACTGGACTGTGTATTAGCTGGATTTTTGTCACTGTAGTGGGATATCTGAGACAGGCTCAGAAGAAAAGGAGTGTCGCTCCCCCTCTTCGTGGAGGAACGACACAGGACCCTGCGCTGTTCTTTTGTCTGCTTGGCCCTTCCCGGGTTTGCTGCTGGTTCTTCCCAGGTTGGCTACTGTCCCACCTCCGTGGAAGGGCGGTTCCCCCTGCCACTTTCCCCACTTCCGCGGGGGAGCGGCACACCGCCAGCCGGCTCTCTCGGGGGCTACTCAGGTGTTCCTTCAGATAGATGTTCCTGGTGCATGTCGTCTCTCTCCTCCTTTATAGTCCTCTTCCACCAATCCCAACTCTGCTACCCACACGCCGAGTACGCTGCTCTCCTCCAAATCAGGAGCAGGATCAGCTCCTGCAGGCCATCACTCAAGTTGGCGAGAGGCAGCTGTGTAGAAGTTGTTACTTCTCTCCCAGCGCCATATTGTGGGAGAGCAGATGCATAGAATAAGTCTTAATTCCAGTAACAGTCTAGTCCGAGTTGCTTCCCACAAAGGAGATGTTTTTATCTCACAGTTTTTGAGGTTTAAGGGCATGGTACCTGCATTGACTGAGTTCTGGTGAGGGCTCCTCCCTGGGCTATGACACATCATGACACATGGCAGTCGGGGGAGTGTGTGTAGGAGCAAGATTACATCTGCGTACCAGGAAGGAGAGAGGGCTGGAGGGGCCAGGCCTGTTCTTCCTCCTCTCACCTCAGATTGGGGTTGTAAGGTACATGCCTCCATCCTTCTTCAGAGGTGTTGTGAAGATGAATAGAAGATGTGTCTCGGGGCTGGCGCTGTGGCATAGTGAGTAAAGCTGCCGCCTGTGGTGCTGGCATCCTATATGGGCACTGGTATGAGTCCTGGCTGCTCCACTTCTGATCCAGCTCTCTGCTATGGCCTGGGAAAGCAGTACGAGATAGCCCAAGTCCTTGGGCCCCTGCACCCATGTGGGAGGCCTGGAAGAAGCTCCTGGCTCCTGGCTTTGGATCAGCGCAGCTCTGGCTGTTGCAGCCAACTGGGGAGTGAACCAATGGTTGGAAGACCTCTCTCTCTGCCTCTCCTTCTCTCTCTGTGTAACTCTGACTTTCAAATAAATAAATAAATCTTAAAAAAAGAAGATGTATCTGTTTGCAAAATGGTTTCTGTGATAAACATTTTAAGTATTCCTTGAGGAAAGGTGACGTTTGAGAAAGCTGTAGATTCTTGGTATTTTCTTGAGACAAAAATGGTTGCTTGTAGCTTTCAGAATCTTCTTTAGGCAGATGATTCTGAACCACTTAAAACTGCACATGCTGAAATAAAATTGCATTGTAAGGGGCTGGCGCTGTGGCACAGCGGGTAAGGCTGCTGCCTGCAGTGCCAGCTCCCGTGTGGGCGCTGGTTTGGGTTCTGGCTGCTTCACTTCTGATCCAGTTCTCTACTATGAGCTGTGAAAGCAGTGGAGGATGGCCCAGTGCTTTGGCTCCTGCACCTGCGTGGGAGGCCTGGAGGAAGCTCCTGGCTCCTGGCTTCAGATCAGCACAGCTCCTGCTATTACAGCCAATTGGGGAGTGAACTGGTGGATGGAAGACTTCTCTCTCTCTCTCTCTCTCTCTCTGCCTCTGCCTCTGTAACTCTGCCTTTCAAAAGTTTCAAGAAGATTTATTTATTTATAAAATCTTTAAAATTAAATTGCAAAGTGGAATTGAGTGATAATGTGTTTATGTGTGTCTCTTGAAATGATATAAAAGCAGGAATGCTTGCTTACTTATATCGTTACTCTGGTGATCAGTATATGTAGGCACTGAATATGTATTTATTTTTAAAAAGATTTATTAATTTATTTAAAGATTTACTTTATTATTTGAAAGAGAGTTGCAGAGAGACAGAGACAGAGAGAGAGATTGAGATCTTTCGTCTGCTGGTTTACTCCCCAAATGGCAGCAGTTGCTGGAGTTGGGCCAATCCGAAGCCAGGAGCCAGGGCCTTCTTTCTGGTCTCCCAAGTTGGTGAAGGGTCCCAAGAACTTGGGCCATTTTCCACTGCTTTCCCAGGCCATTGTTGGAACTGGATCAGAAGTGGAGCAGCTGAGACTCATACCGACACTCATATGGGATACTGGCACCACAGGTGGAGGCTTAACCTACTATGCCACAGTGCTGGCTCCTTATTTACTTATTTTTGAGGATTTATTTATTTGAAAGGCAGAATTACGCACAGAGAGGGGGAGAGAGAGGGGGGGGGAGAGAGAGAGAGAGAGGGAGAGAGAGAGAGAGAGAGAGAGAGAGGGAGAGGGAGAGGTATCTTCTATCTGCTGGTTACTTCTCAGATGGCTGCAATGGCCAGAGATGGGCCAGGCTTTCTGGGTCTCCCACGTGGTTGCAGGGTTCCAAAGGCATGGGCCACCTTGTACTGCTTTCCCAGGTGCATAAGCAGGGAGCTGGATGGGAAGTGGAGCAGCTGGGACTTGAACTGGTGCCCATTTGGGATTTCAGGATTGCAGGCAGCAGCTTAACTGGCTCCAGTGTGCATTTATTGATAGATACTTTCCAAATGGTCAAAGGTCCATAACAGAGACCATTTGTTCTTATATTTCATGATACTTTTTGTGATGGTTTTTATAGGGAGATAGCCAGGATAGGATTAAATATGGGTTCAAACAGTTTAAGACCAATATCAGAAGGAAAAAATATACAATTTACGTAAAACACCTTAAGTTATAAGAATTGAATTAAAATGGATAACTTCAATGGTGGGTTCTACTCTCCTATCTCTTCCCTCTCCCATTTTGCTATTGATGTCACAGATCATATTTTTATATTGTGTATCTGTTGGTGTGGATTTATAGTTTTTAATGGTTTTGTGTTTTTTATATTCTGTATTTTATATTCTGCTTTAAAGTGATTTATATGCTGACATTACAATACTGCAGAATTGTACATTTTGTCTGTGTATTTACTGTGCTAGACAACCTTGTATTTTAAATTGCTGTAAAATTTTATTTGAGTGAGAGTGAGTGAGCAAGCGAGACAGAGTGCTCCCACCTACTGGTACACTCCTCAAATGCTGACAATGACTGGGACCGGACTGGGACCAAAGCCAGGAGCTGGAAACACAATTCAGGTCCTCTTCATGGGTGTCAGAAACTCGTTCACTTGAGCCATCACCACTGTCTCCCAGGATCTGCATTAGTGGAAAGCTTGAGTCAGGAGCGGGAACCAGGAATTGAACTCAGGTACATCACTGTTGATTGTGGGAGTTTTTACTGCCAGGCTAAACACTTGTTCTGAGCCATATATATATATATATTTTTTTTTTTTTTGATAGGCAGAGTGGACAGTGAGAGAGAGAGACAGAGAGAAAGGTCTTCCTTTTGCCGCTGGTTCACCCTCCAATGGCCGCCACGGCCGGCGCGCTGCAGCTGGCGTACCGTGCTGATCTGATGGCAGGAGCCAGGTGCTTCTCCTGGTCTCCCATGGGGTGCAGGGCCCAAGGACTTGGGCCATCCTCCACTGTACTCCTGGGCCACAGTAGAGAGCTGGCCTGGAAGAGGGGCAACCGGGACAGAATCCGGCGCTGCGACTGGGACTAGAATCCGGTGTGCCAGTGCCGCAAGGTGGAGGATTAGCCTATTGAGCCGCGGTGCTGGCCCTAAGCCTTATATTTTTATACAGTGTTGAGTTTTTGCCCTTTGTCCTTTTCTTTCAGTGTGAAAGATTCTCTTTAGCATTCTTTTTTTTTTTTAAAGATTTATTTTTACTTATTTTAAAGAGTTACAGAGAGAGGTGGAGACAAAGAGGTCTTCTATCCGCTGGTTCATTCTCTAGATGGCTTTAGCAGCTGGAGCTGCACCAATCAGGAACCAGGAGCTTCTTCCTGATTTCCCACATGGATGCAAGGGCCCAAGGACTTGGGCCATCTTCTACTGTTTACCCAGGCCACAGCAGAGAGCTGGGTTGGAAGCGGAGCAGCCGGGTCTCGAACTGGCGCCCATATGGGATGCTGGTGCTTCATGCCAGGGCGTTAACCTGCTGTGCCACAGCGCCGGCCCCTCTGCCTCTCTGTTAACTGTACCTTTTTTTTTTTTTAATTTTTTTTTTTCAACTTGGCCCCGGGCGGGGCGTGCCGAGTTTGCCCAAGTTGGGCTGGACACCGTCTGGGGAGGGGGCGGTGGGGCGCACCAACTATACCTTTTTATTTATTTATTTTTAAAGATTTATTTGATTTCATCATCATTTAAAAAAATCATCTATTATTTTTCACTTTATGTTTCTGTGTGAGAGCAAACTGTTGAAATCCTTACTTAAGGTATACTAAGCTGATCTTCTGTATATTAAGATAATCGAAAATGAATCTTGATGTGAATGGAAGGGGAGAGGGAGTGGGAAAGGGGAGGGTAGTGGGTGGGAGGGACGGTATGTGGGGGAAGCCATTGTAATCCATAAATCGTACTTTGGAAATTTATATTCATTAAATAAAAGTTAAAAAAAAAGAAACAGAAAAAAAAAGATTTATTTTATTTATTTGAAAGAGTTAGAGAGAGAAAGGGAGGCAGAGAGAGAGGTCTTCCATGAGCTGGTTCACTCCCTAATTGGCTGCAATGGTTGGAGCTGCACAGATCCAAAGCCAGGAGCCAGGAATCTCTTCTGGGTCTCCCACACAGGTGCAGGGGCCCAAGGTCTTGGGCCGTCTTCTACTGCTTTCCCAGACCATAGCAGAGAGCTGGATTGGAAGTGGAGCAGCCAGGACTCGCACCGGCGCCCATATGAGATGCCAGCACTGCTAGGCAATGTTTTTACCCTCTACGCCACAGTTCCGGCCCTGTGCCTTTTAAATTAGTAAATAAATCTTTAAAAAAATGGAGCAGCAGGGACTTAAACTAATACTCCTATATGGGATGATTCTGTTGCAAGCGATGGCTTGATCCACTGCATTACAATGCCAGCCCTTCCAATATGTTTATTTCGAATTTTTTTGTCATGTAACAAATAGATTTTCTTTTCGGAAATTATTTTGGTTCTTTCACTGGGCCATGTTTCCTGTTTCGTTGTGTGCCTTAGGGCTTTTAGTTGAGATTTGGCCATTTGAGAAAACGAGCCTCTTCTCCAAGCCTTTAGAGACTGGCTGTGAACAGAGGACCATCATTAAGCAGTCCAGGTAGAACTTACGGGGATCCTTTTAGGCATTCTGGGGGTCCGTCTTTTCTGGGCCTGGATAATTTCCCAAAAACATTTGCCTGCTTGTCTACTAGCGCTGTGATTTCTTGCTCCCCCTGTGTCTGTTGGTGGTAATACAGCCTCTTTGGTATTGTAACAAACTTGTGGTGCTCACCTTTGTTTTCAGTGACCCTCAAGCTGGTTTCCAGATTGCAATTCCAATCAGCATTCGAAGTCAGACAAAATAGGATTCAGCCCCTTCACCCGTGCCCTGAACAGTCAGAACACTGGATGGATGTACAGGCTATTCTTCTGTTTTCCCCCTGAGAAAGAAGCCAGGGTTGGGATTTTTCTCCTGGTAGTGCCTCTCTATGCAGGCGTGTGGTAGTAGTTAGGTCAAGTAAAGTGTCATGAATTTTCCAACCCACTACAATGCATGTCTTCTTGGCTTTGCACTTGCTTGGGGTGTTGCAACATCTAAATTGGTTTCTAGAGTTCTTAAAAACGAAAAGCAACTTATTGCGTATGTTTTTGTTAAATTGTTTTTTTTTTTTATATCACACTGATTTTACTCTACAAATATAGAATTTTTGATACATTGATATCTGTGGAATTTTAGGTTATATATAATGTTGAGGTTGCAAACCCATACCCGGGTATAAGTAGGTAGCAAAAATGTGCAAAGAGGGCCAACGAGACTGACCATTTGGGGAGTGGATATAGAAAGACTGGAGATGCAGAGCGCGTGTGCTTCCTCCTAAGGGGCAGTGGGTCCTCAGCTCTTGCCTTTGGATGCTGTGCTAGAATGGCATTATAAGAAAGTTTCCAATTCAGTTTTCCCCAAGGGGGAAAATATACCTATTTTTCAAGAGAATCTGAAAATAAAGTTGAAAGCAGAGCACAATAAGTTTTGTTATGGAGAATTTAGATGTACAAGAGTAGTAGGAATAAAAAAGAAAACCTCACGTCACTGTCACCCAGCTACCCCACTTACCAACTCATAGCCAGTTTGTTTCACTTGTACTCATTCACCTTCCACCCCCCACCCCCCACTGCAGGGTTATTTTGAAGTAAAATTTAGAATCATATCAATTCATCTGTAATTACAAAAAAGCAGATTTTATAAGTGGATTATGTGGCCCAATCAACACAGACCTAGGGGCTGTAATCCATGGGGCCCACAGTTTGACCTCAGATTAGGGAGTTGCGTCCAGAGGTCAATGTTTAGGCACCATCGTGTGTGTCATCCTGATGCTGTCCTCCACCTCGGAGATGACGGCTCAGACCAAGGGCACCTGTCCTCAGTTTTCAGGTGAGTTAGTGGTCAGCAACCCTGGAAAAAGTTGTCAGGAACCCAGGCTCTGTTTGTAGCCCTGGTTATGTGACTTTAAGAAGATGGGATTTCCACATTCCTAGTCCAGATTTTCCTCCTAAAATTCCAGTGTGCTTTGGGTAGGGTGTTTATCTGCCAACCAGAAATACTCCCAGTTTCTTGACTGCATGTTGAGGGGGGGAGGGGGGGTCAGTCACCCAGCTCTGCTGCTTCTTCTGTCCACTTTCTTAACACACCTGTCCTCTCTAGTTTTTTTTTTTTTTTTTTTTTTTTTTTTTTTTTTGCCATTTTTACCAATTTTCTACCTCTGCTAAGGCTATCATAAATAGGATATTTGGGTTGTTAACTGTGTAAAGTGTGGAAAATGGCCATTTTATGATCATGCAACCAAAGATTTTAGGCTTTAACAAGCATTCAGTGTTTCTATTTCTGTGGAAATCAAAACCAATTCACTGTTTTCTTAAAACAATTATATCCTGCTGTATCAGCGTATATTTTGCACTGTACTTGGATTAATGCTGTATGTTTATTTTTGTACTTCACATCCCACTGAGTGGCCTGCACGCTCCCTTTTTCGGGTGACTGTCACTAATCCATTTAGTCCCAGGGATAATACCTCCAAGAGTTTCTTTGATACTGTAAATGTTTCCTAACCTAAAGTCCACAAGTCTATTGCATAATATATTGAATATTGTTGTTCTTAGGTTTAACCTCTTAAAAATAAGTTTAGATAAGGTAGTAACAGAAAATTCTATGTTTTACTTAAGACTCCCCTTACAACTAACTGATTGTGTTTCTGTGAGAAAACCTTTTAATTTCACTGGAAATCACTTTGTTTCTCCTTTTAAAAATAGCTAGTTACAAATGCATATTAAAGGGTCAAAATTTCTAAAAACAAATGCCTTACATAAGTTAATGTTTTATTTATTTGAGAGGCAGAGAAAAAAGAGAGCTCCCATTCACCGGATCAGTCCCCAAATGTACATAATGGCTGGGGCTGGGGCAGGCCAGAGCCAGGAGCAAGGAATTCAATCCAGGTCTCCCACATAGGTAGCAAGGATCCAAGCACTTGAGGCTTCACCTGCTGCTTCCCAGAGTGTGCATCAGCAGGAAGCTGGAATTCGCACTGGCGCTGGGACTCACACCTGGGCACTCCAGTGAGGGACGCAGGCATCTTATTGTGGGTCTCAACCACTAGGCCAAACGCTTGCTCCATGACTCGCTTCTTTCTTATTTATTTATTTGAAGAGAGAGGGAGAGATGAGAGGTAGAAAGAAAAAGAGAAAGAGAGAGAGAGAGAGAGAGATCTTCCATCGTCTGATTCACTCTCCAAACGGCCATAATGGCCCGAGCTGGGCCTTTCTGAAGCTAGGAGCTAGGAGCCAGGAGCTTCTACTGGGTCTTCCAGTAGAAGGGTGGCAAGGCCCCAAGCACTTGGACTGTCTTCTTC